CAGAGTTTGTGATAAAGGGTCAATGAGTCATTTGTTCAAACGACGACGTTTATGCAACCGGTTACATATCTTCTTCGTTTGTAGCTTGAAGCTTGTCATATATATATATACCCTTAGCCAGATATCGTTATCCAAGAGCTAAACTCTTCTAATTTCTTTTGTTTCCTCTTTCAGCTTAAGTTGCACTAATCAGAGAACTAAGTTTTGCAAATAACGTGATTAAACAGAGAAAAAAAACTAAGTGACTCATAAATCTTGTTTTGTGCTAAACTGAGTAGTATTTTAGACATTGATTTCTTGCAAAACAGTTTGCATTACTTTTTGTCATTCACTTTTTCTTTAATCCACAACATGCGGGGTTTGAAGTGGAATGGTAACAATATTGAACAAAGTCGACACGAATACAAAGGACTAGGCTATATGGTCATCTCTTACTCATTAATTTTTTTTGTGGAATTTAGTTATCTTTGGTGTACAATAATATAGAACAAAGTCTTGCAATCTTCACAACTCTGTTTTGACTACAAGATTGGAGCCAAAACAACTTTCATGTTCCCACAATTTTAGGCAGGTCTCTTTTACTTTATCTTTTGATATCAATTTTGTTCTGTGTTTCTTTTTATGCTAAATAACTCTGAATGTTTGAAGCGGCAAACATAATTTAGTTCTGAAAATCAGACCAAAATTGCCAAAACTTGATGGAGATTTTATATTTTGACAGAAAACCAAATCTAATTCAAACATTAATCATATCAAACTGGAGATTTAAAAAAAAAAAAAAACTGAACCAGATCAACCCAAAAAAACCGTCATAAAGCATTTCTTGGAAAATCTTGATAATAGACGGTGAGAATATATTAACTGCATTATTAAGTCGTATGTTACTGAATTGTTGTTTAATACGTTTGTTAGTTTTGTCATAAAACGTCACTAAGTTAGACCGTCAGTTACAAAGAAAGACCAACAGATACCAATTGTCCTTTAGGTTTTAAATGCTTTAATTTATGTTCCTTCTCTAAATTTCTTACATTTAAGCTCTCTGTTTCCAAAAGTAAATACCAAATTCAGATGAGAGTTTCAGAGACATTTTCTCGACTTCGATTATCAGACAATACTTAATCTCCATCAACACGTCTCATTGCTTAAAACATACATATATGGACGAATCCGACACCGGAATCTAATGCGTGACTGAGAAGATCCAATTCTGGTTCGTTTCCTATTCAAAGTTTTTATTTTTCAATTTATAACACGTGGATTTGAATCTGTCTATGTCTCTGTTCTTCTGAAACAACAGGAACTAGGTTGGAGTTTGAAACTTCTCGTACGTTTTGGCTTTCCCTGAGCTTTGGAACAAAACCCATTTGGTAAAACCTTAAAAACCTTGTCTGAATTATAAGTGTTCTTGTGTAAGTAACACAGATTTTTTTTTGTTTAATACAAAAGTGTTGGTCAAGAAACTGAGAGTGATGGGGATGGAAGAAGGGGTTAAGGATAATACTGTATCAGCATCAGCTTCTAATTTGAGACATGCAAACCAATCTAGGGCAGTTTTTCCGATGCGGGTACTTCAGGTTTTCTTGTTGTTCTTTGTTTTGGTTCTTGGAATCTCAGTTGTTAGTATACATATGATCAAGTACTTGAAGATTCAAACTTTGTCTCCAACCACATTGATCTCTGCTTGTGATGAGAGAACTACATTAGAGAGCTTTATTAAGCCTCCATTGAGTGTTTGGCACTCCATGAATGACAGCGAGCTTCTTTGGCGCGCATCGATGGTGCCAAGGATATATAATAAGTATCCATTTAAAAGAGTTCCTAAAATTGCATTCATGTTTCTAACCAAAGCCCCCTTACCATTTGCTCCACTTTGGGAAAGGTTTTTCAAAGGCCATGAGGGATTTTACTCTATTTACGTTCACGCGTTGCCTAATTACACATCGGATTTCTCAAGCTCATCTGTGTTTTACAGAAGACAGATCCCAAGTCAGGTACATGTGTGTAGCATTTTGTCTTTTTGATAGTGTTACTCATTTAGTTTATTACAAAATTGTTGGTCAAGAAATTGTGTGTAGCATGTCTTTTTGATAATGTCGCTTTTTGTGACTTCGTTTAGTTTCTCTACTTGTGTGTAGCCTGTGGCTTGGGGAGAGATGAGTATGTGTGAAGCCGAAAGGAGGCTTTTGGCTAACGCGTTACTCGATTTCTCTAATGAATGGTTTGTTCTGCTCTCTGAAGCTTGCATTCCTCTTCGCGGTTTCGAGTTTATCTACAATTACGTTTCTAGATCAAGATATAGTTTCATGGGTTCTGTTGACGAGGACGGGCCTCACGGGAGAGGTAGATACAGCTACGCAATGGGACCGGAAGTCCGTCTAAGCCAGTGGAGAAAAGGGTCTCAGTGGTTTGAAATTAACCGGCTATTTGCTATTGAAATTGTTGGAGACGTCATTTACTATCGCAAATTCAAAGAGTTTTGTAGACCTCCTTGTTATGTTGATGAACATTACTTCCCAACAATGCTCTCTATTCCATATCCGAATTTTCTGGCGAACCGGACATTGACTTGGACAGACTGGTCAAGAGCTGGTGCTCATCCAGCTACTTTTGGGAAGGATGATATAACAGAGAGGTTCCTCGAGAAGCTTCCGCGAGCTCAATCTTGCTTCTACAATGATCAGCCATCTCAAGTGTGTTATCTCTTTGCAAGAAAGTTTGCTCCGAGCGCATTGGAGCCTTTACTCAAACTTGCACCAAAGATTCTTGGATTCTAACGGATCTTGTGCTTTTTTTTTTTGGTTCTTGGTTTTTGTTGTGAAATGTTCTTGGATTTTGAGTGTAGCTTCGTTTTAGCATATGGACACAACTGATCATTACTGTCTCCTTCCACTTCAATGACTAATGAAATACTTTACTTGATTGAATAAAAAGTATTTGATGATATAGTTCTCAGTCCCAAAGAGCATCAGAATCTTCTTGTTCCATGCTTAACACAAGTCTAGATGTACTTCAAAACTGGAATGTTATTAATGGAACCACAAAAAATCTATCTTTTATTTGCTGTTTTGTGAATACAATATCAATATAAGACGTGTGTATGTGTGTGTTGTATAGTGACAGTATTGATTTACATCTTCATATGAAGAGTAAATAGAATACACTTAAAATCTAAACTATATGAAGAAAACAATTATAGAGCAAAAGAATGTGGAAAGGTTGTATATGAAAAAAACTAACTAATCATATGATCCGAGTCCCTCCTTTCTTCCTGAATCAAACGGAAAATTCTTGCAGCAGATTCAGAGGCAGATGTTGGATTATGAGGAACGGCTTTAATGGCGCGAAGCAGCGGTTGCTGATTCTGCTTGTACTCATCAGTTTTATGCGTAGGCTCAGTAGGAAAAAGAGGAAGCACGTCGAATTTATGCTTCTCTGGTGGACTTGAAGCTGTACTTCCATGTACCTCACTGTCATTAGAGTCTTGAGACTTCTTTAAGGAAAATGGTATCGCTTGAGTCATGTGGCTCGATTTGCTTGACCATCTTTGGAACTGACCAAACGGGTTTGTTTGATCAACTGTTGTCCTCGGTGGGAAGTAGCTGTGGTTGAACTGAGGAGAAACAGGGAACCTGAATGCTGTATCGATCGAATCTTGGCCATAAATTGGAACCATGAAAGCTAAAGAAGGAGGAGGACATGGTCCTGCGTATGGTTTATAGACCAGACCTTCTGAAGGAGACATTACAGGGACTAACCATTGGTTTCCAGGAGGAGGAAGTAGCTGTTGTTGCCAAATCGGGTTCACGAGTTCTTTGCTTAGTGAAGGTAGAGGAAGCTTTGGTTTCATAAGCTCTGGATATTCTTCGGTTACAGATTTGTGATTCTCAATGTTTGGTTTCTTAACCTTTGAAGCAGACATTTCCATCAAATGTGATGACCTCATTGTACCATGTTTGCCGTTAGTTAGCTTACTTTCAAGAACCAAGTTTGGTGATTTTGCAACCATCTTTTGAACCTGCATCATGTTCAGGTTCATGGTCAGAACTCAGAACACATGAAAGCTGATCATTGAAACAATCAGGTTACTAGAAAGATTTACCATTATCAGTCTATGAAGCTCGAATACTTGCCCTGTGAAGATCTTCTGCTGACTGAAAATATCAGCAAGAAATACAGTAAGATTATGAAACTGGAGTCATTAGAGAAGAGACTGAAAATATTAAGTGAGAGGATACATACTTGATCATATAATTTCTCATCTTCAAAAACCTCTTTTCACCTATCACTCTAGCAACATCATTAGAAAATGCACTCATACCAGACACAGATTCTATCGCAGAACAGTCTGAGACATCTTGTTCACGCATAGCTACTACAGTTTTAGGCTTCTTTTGAGCTTCATTGTTAAATACAGAAAGGTTTCTTCTATATAACTGAGTTTTCATCACATTCTGGCTTTCATCTTCCAAACATTCTGATAAAATTTGGACTTCTCGAGTACGAAAACTGTTGAGGGCAGCCTTAGATCCAGCAGCTTCTCCGAGTGACAAATCTGTGTTTGCTTGTCGATCTTTAATAACTAGAGGAACTTTAAGCGAATCCAAGTTTGTAAGGTTCTTGAATTGGTACTCATTCTGTTTTATTGAACTAGGCT